ATGGTTGAGGAGTTCGCAGTCTCGCTCGTCGGCAGTCAGATCGTCGCGTGGCCTTCCCTTGAGCACCTCCCGTCAACTTCGGCGCCCCCTAGCTTCCGGATGAGGCATCGGCAGTGGCCCCCCCCCCCAGCTGGAGGATGCGGTAGCCTCCTATGTGCTGCGGACACCACCCCAACGCCCATTCAGTGGCCAGTGGACTCACCGAAGACACACGCGGTTGACCTCACGGTGAATGGCCCTTCCTGTTCACCACCAGGGGTTACCCACCAGGCTGTGGACAACGACGACTCCACCAAACGACGCCTCGACAGCTTCATCAATAATGTCACGCGTGAGAGGGACTCTTCGTTGATTCGCGAGCCTCCCAAACAGCCTCCTGCTAAGCCGGTACTACCGTGGCGGAGCAGGCGGTTGGCGGCTCAGAGCCTGTCCCGAGTGCCAGCTTCCAAGCGAGGTGAGGTGCTGATCATGCAGCGTATAGGCTACACCATGGATCCATCTGCGCCATCCGCTTCGAAGTTGGAGGCCTTTGACAGGCTCTTCGACGACAACATGACTGCGTCCGAAGTCGAGGCGCTGGACGAGCTCTTCCCGGCCGTTGGAAAGGCACCGTCCAGGCGGCCGCGAAGACGTAAGGCCACCTAGGGCACAAAGATGCGTCGATATTGGTTGTTTCTTTTTATGTAATATCAAACATGAGGTCTTTTGCTATGATGGTCCAGCTTCAGCTGTGTTAGGTCGACATCCTTTGGCACTCGATAAAAACGCGTTGTATGTTTTTTTAAATTCTTCTCCTTAATGCAATGATACACAAATCTTTTGAGTACATCAAGAAGGATCCATGACGGCCCCAAAGTGAACGCAAACATCACCAGGTTGCAAGAAGAGATGGGGCAGCCGTCTACCTGTTGCCGATCCAAAAACCGGCGTGCATGTGCACATCCCATTATAATGTCCATTTTAACAGTAATCTACAGCAGCCCTATAGCAGCTCACTCTGATTTCGTTGCCGGTGGACAAAGATGGAACGGCTTTGTAGGAATTGTAGCCCATTGCACTGACAATTTTGGGCCATATTGGACACCAGCGCGCCTTGCCGCTGACAATTTTCTGAGGAAAGATCACGGCAATTCAGCCCATGAGGGGAACCAGCGACGGGAACAAAGCACGACCATTGGCTCAGCTCGACGGGCTGCCGCGATGCCTGGCCCTCCGGCGTTCTTCACGGTTGACTCGTGATGATCTCTTCATCGCCACTCGCTAGGGTTGTGGTCTCCGTGCTATCGGCATCCGCGGCCCTCCGTTTTCTGTGCTATCGTTGAGGCAGAAATTTGGAACTGCCGACGCGACGGAGATTGGTAATGAGATTTGAGGCATGAGGATCATTGGCATATCCTTGGATGATAGCTTCACACCATTGAGGAACACCCACAGACATAGCAAGCAGGTCATCGGTTGGATGGGTACGGCAGGAGAGAGAATCTGCCATCCGGTTGTCAGTGACAAGCTGACCCGGCAATGTATGTGTTGCTGTTTTTTCTTTTCTTTTTGATATAAGCATGTACCTGTTGGCTGTTGCTGTTGTATAACAACTGAGGTGGTGTTTAAATCTAGGGAGTAAAGTTTAGGATATCATATCAGGATGTCACATGGGAGTGTTCAGATAGTAATAATAAAACAAATTACAGAAGTCCTAAGTAATCCGTGAGACGAATTTATTAAGCCTAATTAATCCGTCATTTAGCATATGTTTACTGTAGCACCGCATTGTCAAATCATGGACTAATTAGGCTTAAAAATTTGTCTTGCAAATTAGTTGCAATTTGTGCAATTAGTTATTTTTTTAGTCTATATTTAATACTCCATGCATGTGTCAAATATCCGATGTGATAGAGAGTAAACTTTTGAGAAGGAACTAAACAAGGCCTGAGTTACTACTATCTGTAAACATAATAATTGGCATTCTGAGCTGATTACTATCTGCAAACATTTGTGAACTGCCCATTTGGACATGCTAGAAAGTAGCTTAGCTTGCAGAGGGTACAATCCAGAGAACAGGAAAAAGAAATCTTGTATTGTGGTGTACATGTTTGCATACAGTTATGCCTTGGCTTGTACTGCTGCGTGTTAGTTTTGCTTGTTGGCATCCAGATGGTCCAGGACATGGATCAACATGTTTCTGAACTCTCCGAACCATGCTGTTGTACTGTATAATGATGCTTACAGATTTCTTTCAAAAAAAATGATGCTTACAGATGCTGTGCTAGACAAATAGGAAGTTTCTCCTGCTATACTTGTAGCTGCATGCTGTTGTCTTCTACTGAAAGTACCTGTTTATTTACATTGCTAGAGTATATTCTCCGGTTAATCCAATGATTGCTAACTGTCTAGAATTCAACTTGAAATTTGGCTTCTAGTGTTTTTGACCATGCAGATGAGTTATTATAATTTCATTGTATTGACCATGCAGATGAAGACTTATATGACCGAAGGGAGTCTTGCCAAGAGTTGAGACATCTTTGGTGCCTGTGTTCCATCTGTTCATTAAGCTATTATAGTCATTAGATTAGATTCTTAGATGATGTTATCATGCCTGTTTACTGTCTTGCTGATGGAACCTAGAAACATGAGTCAGTAACAATGATGGGTAAACAAAGTGGTAGTGTTTTTGCTGTACTTCAAAAATTTTGTAAAAATGTAAACAAAGAACGCCCAATTACTTGTTTAAATGTATGATTACAAACAAAGTGATAATATTTTTGGGTCGGCCTCGTAGTACCCTTGAGCCAGCAAGGCCAAAAGCTTTTTCATATTTGGGTCGGCCCATGGCCTTGCAAATTGGCCTTGATGCCACAGGGTCAGGTCCAAGGCTAGGTCCGGCGGACCCATTCCCATCCTGAGTTATCACACGCTTTTTCGTAGATGACCTACTGAAGACCCGTCTATGCTGCCAGTCTGCCACACTGTGTAAGCGTTGTTCATTAAGATCAACCAAACTCTTTTGGTCAGAGAAAATGGTGAGCTCAGCCAATTGCTGTCACAGATAACAAAGCCATTGTCCGACTACAATGAGAACAGCCACATATTTTGAGAGGCGCTGAGTCTTGGGTCCCAATGCCTCGCTGATGAATGCCAACAGATGATGGTTTTGAATCAAAACAGCCCCGCACACTCAAAAATTAGATTGGAATGATCTGTGCAAGAGTACGGTGCTAATCAGGTATGGAAAAAAGAGAGAATTCCTTATTTGACACTGGAAAAATAAATCGTTCCTTTTTTGGTTCTGAAATTTTTTTCGTTCTTTATTTGACACTCACTTCAACTTTCATCCCTAATTTGACACTACCGTCAAATCCGTTAGCTAACGGTGTTAACTGGCGGTTAAAAAGACGTTTTTGCCCCTAGAAAAAAAAGCGGCGAAGCAAATTTGAGAGGAAAAAAAACCTGCGCCTTTTTTTTGCAGCTGGGCGCATGCATCAGAGGCGGGCTCACGTTTTTTTTCTCTCAAATTTGCTTCGCCGCTTTTTTAGGGGCAAAAACGTCTTTTTAACAGCCAGTTAACACCGTTAGCTAACGGATTTGACGATAGTGTCAAATTAAGGATGAAAGTTGAAACGAGTGTCAAATAGAGAATGAAGAAAATTTCAAGTCTAAGAAAGAAACGACTCATTTTCTCATTGTCAAATATGGAATTCTCTCGTGGAAAAAAGCATGGTTTTGATGGAGCTGCATTCCACGGCGTGCCCACACGCTACCTGGTCGCCACGGCACGGTTGGTACTGCTACGGCAGAGGACCGCAGAGGCAAAACGCGGGTGCAAAATCATTGGTGGGATTCTTGAACAGGGCCTTTAGATTGCAAATTTTTGCAATCCGAACACTGTAGCACATTTCGTTTGTATTTGATAAACTTTGTCTGATCATGGACTAACTAGGCTCAAAAGATTCGTCTCGTGATTTACAACCAAACTATGCAATTAGTTACTTTTTTTACCTACATTTAATGCTCCATGTATGCGTCCAAAAATTAATGTGATGGAGAGAAAGTGAAAAAACTTAGAACTTTGATATAATCTAAACAAGGCCCAGCTGCCATTCCTGATTCCTGCCACTGGCGGTCTGGCACACTGCCAGTCTGCCACTGCCAAGCATTGTTGACAATGCACTCCAGACAATGCTCAGGGATCACTGATCAGCTAGTCCTAGGGCCTTGTTTAGATGGGGTTTAGAAATCAATATTTGATACTGTAGCATTTTCGTTTGTATTTGATAATTATTGTCTAATCATGGTCTAACTAGGCTTAAAAGATTCGTCTCATAATTTACAATCAAACTATGTAATTAGTTATTTTTTTATCTATATTTAATACTCCATACATGTGTCCAAAGATTTGATGTAATAGAGAAAGAGTGAAAAAACTTAGAATCTAAACAAGACCTAGGATTCACACGGTCACAACTGAACTTAGGGCTTATTTAGTTCCCAAATTTTTTTTTTCAAAAAGTGCTGCAGTAGTTATCACATCGAATCTTGCGATACGTGTATGGAGCATTAAATATAGATGGAAAAAAAAACTAATTGCACAGTTGGTTGAAAATTGCGAGACAAACGTTTTGAGCCTAATTAGTCTATGATTGAACAATAATTGCCAAATAAAAACGAAAGTGCTTCAGTAGCCAAATTCCCAAAATTCTAAATTCTCAAAATTCACGAACTAAACACAGCCTTGCAAACACAGGCATCGATTCACACTTGACATTGCCTCAGCTCATGGTCGACTCTGTGTGCTAGAGCCGGCGGCTAGAGAGCATTTGGTCTTTCACTCTGAAACTCTCGTCGAAATCCCAATAAACTGTTTGTTTTCTCTTGATCTGTACAAGAAGTCGATCACGAATTCATTCACGATCGGAACAGCTCGTCAAACTAAACAAACACCTTGAGAGAGAAAAAGGCCTTCTCAAAAATTCCACACAAACTCGCAAAAAGTTTGCACGAATATTCTAGCAAACGGGGCATTTCACTAGCCCGTTCTCGTTGCACCTCGGGCACCGCCTGAACGCTCCTCCGCCACCGGAGCCATCCTCGTCCTCCACGAACACCTTGCAGCTGCCAGAGCACCCGTCGCACGGCACGAACCGCAATCCGCCGCAGCCAGCACAGGCGTAGTCCTGCGCGCCGGCGCCTCCCTTGGTGGCGCACGGCGCGTCGCAGGCAGCGAGGGCCGACGCCAGCTCCCCGGCCTCGTGCAGGCTGCGGACCTCCTCGGCACCGCCCAGGTGCCGGCCGTCCGCGAACACCTGCGGCAGGCGGCGGCCTCCGTCATCGCCGAGCGCGGCGCGGAGCTCGTCTTTGAACCCCGCGTGCATGGACAGGTCGCGCTCGTCCACGCGCACGCCGTAGCCGCGCAGGATCGCGCTCGTGGACCAGCAGTCCTCGTACGTCTGCCGGATCCCGCGGAGGCTCGTGAGGTACACGACGACCCGGCCCGCGCTCTCCGGCGGCGGCGGCGGCGAGGCCTTCTTGGCTGCTAGCTTCGTCTTGGCGTTGATCTTTTCCTGGAACACGTCGACCCGTGCCCGTACGGTGCCCGGGAACGTCTGAATTTCGGCGCGCTTCTCGACGTCACCGCCGCCTCCGTCGCGTTTGACGAAATCATCAGGAAGAGGCGAGTCAGGTGTTGTCGCCAGGTCGTCGAGCGCCTTCCGGAACGCGTCCAGGAGTTCCGGGTCGAACATCGGGGGGGACCCGGACGCCGACCGCGCCTTATTCCGCTCACCGCGGGCGCCGTGGACGACGCAGCCGTCGTCCGTCTCTTCATCATCATCCTCCTCGTCGTCGTCGAGCCCCTTCATGAGCTCCCACACGTTGATCTCCTCGGGGTCGCGCACCGGCGTCTTGTTCGGCGTCCGCGGCGGCGCGGCGACGACCCTCGACGCCCCCGCCACCACCACCCGCTTCTGCCGCTTCGGCTGCGGCGCCGCCGCCGCCACGGGCGGTGGCGCCGTCGGGAACCAACACCCGCCGAACGACCGCGACGGCGGCCCCAGCAGCAGCTTCGTCATCGTCCCTGCGCCGCCATCGACGACGTCGTTGCCGGCCTTCATCATCCCCTCGTCGTCGTCGTCCCCGCCGCCTCGTCCTCCTCCTCCTCCTGCGGCAGCGTCGAAAGAAAGGACGCCCGCTGCCGCGACGGCCGCCGCGGCGCGGTCGAGGCTGAGCGTCCCGAGCGTGGACGACCGCAGCGCGACGGAGTGCCGCGGCGGCGCCTGCAGGCGGCCCGATGAGCGCCTTTGCTGATGCGGCTCCGGCGGTCGCGCCGCCGGCAGCCCACTGCAGCCCCCATGCAGCGCGTGCTTCGACCCCTTGCAGCCCATCCACGTACGTACGTGCACTGTGCGCCGCGGCGGCGGGTAATGAAGGGAAGGGAGCAGCTCGATCGAGAACCTGGCGCTGCCGTTCTACTGCAGAGGAGGAGGAGGAGGAGGAGGAAACGGCTAGAACCTCTCGCTCTCGGCTTGCGGGGGTCAAACGGCTGGAAAATTTGGGTTCCGTGGGAAGCGGAGCGCAGACGGTTTCGGCAGCGGCGTTGTCCGGCGTCCGCGGTGGGAGCCAGAGCCTGGGCTGCGGGTTGGAAGGAAACGCATAAGAAGAAAGGGCGGGCGAGGCCGGTGCGTGCTCGCGCTCGGGGTCGCGGGTGCGGACGCCGTGCCGCCCGTGCAGTCCGCATATCGAATCAAATCCGCAGTAGGCGGCGACCTAAAACGTACGTGCGCCGTGGCCGTGGAATTCTGCATCGTCCGCGTCGGGTCAGGCTCAGGCGGGCGCTGAAACCATGCATGTGCCTGCTCATTCTCTGGGGGCGGTACTGCACGGCGCGGCGCATTCCTTCCCACCCTGTGTGCCGCAGCGTCAGTAGCAGCCGGTCCGGCAGCCACGGGCGGTTCGGTAGCAGTTGCTGCGGGGGCGGATGATATCTTGTCATTCATCAGGGAGTAATAATAACGAAAAGGAGGGCCTGGAATTTGGACGCGGACAGGTTTCGGCATCGACGACGACCCGTTCCTGCGTCGCGCATATCTGGTGAGCTACAGTATGTGACTAATCCGTTGGAGATTGGGAGTTGCCACCGTATGGATTCCAATTTTCATTCTGTTGGAACGACGATTTTGTTATCTCTCTTTTTTTTTTTTTTTTTGAAAAAAAAACTATTGATCGCTAAATTGGGTGGTCAGGTGACGGACCACTACTGCCCATGCATGATTGAAGACGTGGCATGCATGTTGATCAGGGGACATTCGGTTCGGCTGTGCCCTTTGTCCGCGTTAGCGGCAATGTGTTCATTTCAAGTTTTGAACTGGCTAACGGTTTACCCAGGATCTTGGGCTTTATCGGTTATTACGAACTTAACGACAACCCTTCTGCCGATCAGAAGTTTCCGACACTGACGAATTTCAGGCAGGGCGCAGCGCAAGACACAAAACAGAACAAACTTGTCATTCCGACATTCCGGCAGTAAAAGCATTGGATGTGACAGCTGATCCCTGACAAGTGCACAGCGTCTGTTGGTACGAGTATTAGGGCCTGTTTATTTTCCAAAAAATTTTGCCTCATAGAGTAAAAGAGCATGTTTGCACACATGTATGGAGTGTAGAAAAAAAAAACTAATTACACAGTTCTTGGCAAAACCGCGAGACGAATCTTTTAAGCCTAATTAGTCCATGAAAAGCCTTAAGTACTACAGTAACCCACATGTGCTAATGACCGGTTGATTAGTATCATTAGATTCGTCTCGCAGTTTTCTGATGGGTTCTATAATTTGTTTTTTATTAGTATCCAAAAACCCTCCCGACATCCTTCCGACACATCCGATGTGACACCCAAAAATTTTTACCTCCTCAACTAAACACACCCTTAGCACTAGCACATTCTGTCACCATCCGGCGTCGAGATTCAGTTTCCTTATCTCATCGAAGGTCCAGACATATGCGAGTATTAAATATAGATTAAAAAAATAAGTAATTGCATAGTTTGTGACTAATTTGCGAGATGAATTTTTAAGCCTAATTAGTTCATGATTTGACAATGTGATGCTGCAATATCATATGTGCTAATGACGGATTAATTAGACTTAATAAATTCGTCTCGCGGATTAATGATGGATTCTGTAATTTTTTTTTTTATTAGTATCCGAACATCATATACAACACCTCATGTAGCATCCGATGTGACACCCCAAAACTTTACGTCCTAAATTTAAACAAGGCCTCAACTGGAATCCGGCAAAAGTCACTGGAACCCTTTAATACAAAAAAAAAAAAAGCTACTACTGCTCGACGACAACTTTTGTCTAAAGCCGGATCAATGCCGTTCCGTGCACAGCGTTGGCCGGTGGTCTGTTTTTCACTTCGAACGCATCGACAGCGATGGAACGATGCGCAGCAGGCGCCTACGATCCGGCTTCAGCCACAAGATGTCAAGATCCACCGTCAGTCTTTTTGCAGTTGTTTTAGCAAGCATATGACTCATGAGATGCGATGTGAGTTTGTCGCGAGTGCCGTGTCCCCTGCTTTCTTTCTCGTATCTGTCAGTCAGTGACTGGTCCACCTCTTGCTTTACCTTGAAACGCCTCTTGTTGCTTTGCGTTAGTTGCCCTGCACGCATCTTATCTTAAACCATGATTAGCTTTACTCATAAACTCGATGATTTGTTTCTTAAAGTTGAGGGCCAACACAGGGGGCGCGATAGGCAGTGAAGGTCTGCACGATGCTTTGTCTGGCAGTTCGTTGACACCGGGGAGATGTCTTAGCTAAGCTTAGGACGGCCAACTACCAGCTAGTCTCATATCATGATACCAAGTGGTGTAAAATACAGTGTTTTATTAACAAAGCCAAATACAGTTTTTTTTTGGGTCAGCCCCAGTTCAGTTGGATTGCTCTCTGTCTCTGAGGAACCTTTCCGGTCTGAGATAGATAGATTAAGATAGTTGCACCAACTAATGTGTGTTGCATTGTCAAAAAAGGAGATAATCATACGGAGCACTGGTGACATCATCCGTTCAGTAGGTTAATCCTCTGTTGTAGTCACGGAATTACGGAAACGAACGGCAAAACGGAAAACAACAGGACATGCTTCCGTTCCAATTTCTTAAGTGGATGCCAGTAGTACAGTGCAAAGCTTGGGCGGTGTTTAGTTGGGCAAAGTTTGCGCAGACAAACTTTGCATAGTGAAGATTCCATACCGTAGCATTTCGTTTGTATTTGTGAATTATTGTCCAAACATTGACTAATTAGGCTCAAAAGATTCGTCTCGCAAAGTTAAAGCAAACTGTGCAATTAGTTTTTGATTTCATCTACATTTAGTACTCCATACATGTACCAGTAAGTTTGATGTGACGAGAATCTTCTTTTTATATAATGCACTTTTCCAGAAGTTTGGAGAAACTAAACAAGAGGCTTGACTACAATGCTTTGCACTGGCACATGACAAGATATATATGACATGACTCCACTCAACTTCTATAAAACCACATCTTAAACCGCGCAGATCGAAAAGTGTTTTTGGTACATTTTCCTAACCAATCGTGTCATCGTGTGCCCGTGAATCATGCGCTCATCTCGGCTGATCGCGGGGTTAGTTATTTGACTTTTTGGTGAGCAGATAGGAGTAGAATCGAGAAATCACCGACGAATGGAACCGACAGGAAAGGAAAAGGGAGTAGGCGCTGGTGCCGGACGTACGACAAGGTTATTGGGTTTGGTGGCTGGCACGCCCTCGGCGATCCGTCTCGGCGTGTCCATAGGCGACGGACGGGACGGGTGCTGCCGGTCCGCACGCACGTTCAGCGCTTTTCCTCGGTGTTGCATGGATGGGGTCATCCGAGTTTGACGTCTGATGCCTGACACCTACTCTACCGTAGATTTGCAGTCACAGTGGGTCGGTCTTTGCAGGAGTTGAGGCGGTGAAGTGTCGTCGAACGCACACTTCGAAGTCAAAGCTGCGGCCTGCCGCATAAATTTGTCCGTTCCTAAAGTCATGGTGGGCCGCTATCAGATTCTATCCCCATCTTGCAGTGGGCTTCTTGTTTCGTTGTCGTAGACCGTAGACTGGTAGCGCAGGTGTGCCGCCGAAGCGTGTTTAGTCTTACAGCGAGTTTAGTCATTTCACTTTTTGGCCGCTATTAGAGGTTAGTTCGGCAGAGCAGTTCTTAATTTTAAGGGAACTGAGAGCTGAAAAAAAAGTAGCTTCTTTTTATTCACTCCATGCATATATATAATCATTGTATCGTAGAGTTTATCCTAGAGAATTATAAAGAATCAATTTTAGTAAAAGAATCAGCTTCCACGAACAACCTGGAGTAAGAGGAGCTTTGCCAAACTGGTCCTAGGTCTCCATCTCGTATTGTGATGAGTCAATCAATCTTAACTTTGACTGAATTTATAAGAAATAGTATCAATATTTATATCTCTAATTAGGTTTGTTATATTATATATGATGTGATCTATCTCACGATGCTTATATGGTATCACAAACATTAATATTTTAATATATATTTAGTCAGAGTTTGAATTTTTTAACTCCTCGAAATACGAGTCGGAGACTTTTTTTTTGGACAAAAGGAGTAGATAGATAAAATAGAGAAATTATTGAAAAAATGTATGAGCTTACCTCTTCATGAAGAGTTAGCTTATCACTATCTTTTTTATTAATAAAATTACTCTATGAGCTAGCTCTTAACACATTGTTGAAGCCGTGTTTACTGGTCTCTTGCTTCAGTGCCATGGCAAACACACCCAAGGCTGTTTTTTTGTGTGTGTTTTTCTTAAGAAAAAGGAGCATATTGATGATATTCGTGAGTCTTTTTTTGGTTCTCACTTTATGGAAACAATATTATCTCTGGTGCTATTACTCCTACTTGTGTGGTGATCAGATTGCATTTTTACCTAATTCGAGAGACTGCATCTATTAATGAATGGTTATACAATGGTGGTCCTCATGAGCTAATTGTTCTATGGGCTTATTTGCTACAGCTATTGCAGCAATCGTTGTTGTTTACATAGTAACTTGAGAGAATCAGGCACAACAATAGCTGCAGGGAAAAGGCTGCTAAAAAGACCCTATACTTTTTACTTATCTACTTAGACCTTCACTACTGGAATCTACTTGTTTCCCTAGGGTTAAACAAGCACTCTAGGAAAAATTGTAGTCCCTAGGGTTTTATTTGATACCCTAGGGAACATAATAGATTCCCTAGGGTTCTAATTTTTTCCTCGGTGAATCATCTTCCTGGGCTGCCACGGTGTAACGTTTCCCTAGGAAATACGATCGTTCCCTAGGGAACTGAACATTTTCAGCTCCCACTACTTGCTCCCGCCAT